TTGGTTATGGCCTGAATTATTACCTCACTCTGGCTGGTCGTATGGATGACGAGGATGAAGAGTCATATGCAAAACTTATGAAGTTTGTTGATGACTTCTACCCCGCCCAATGGGTGACGAGGGAGGGAAGGATTTCCTCGATGATGAAGATGAGTCTGTATTTTAGGCTCGATCAATCAACACTAAGGCACTCCTCGAGTGCCATACTTACGAGGACGCTGTAGTGCTCCTAGAAATCTTATCGTATATATTTCCCTTTTAGCATGCTCGTATGTACTTTCTTAACATACTAACCTGGGTTTGTTGTTTTCCGCTTATAACATGTCGGACTCCCGGGAGCGTTTGATCAAGTTGGCGCAGGACAAGAAGAAAAACAAAAGGATAGTGAAAGCTACTCGCTTTGCTCCAACTCCGGGCCAGACTAATGATGGCTTTAGTACCTCCTCTATGTCTCTGGATGTTAACCAGCCTTATCCTGTACAGGGGCTTTCAGGCAGAAAGAGGGATCGTTCCAAGAGTGAGACCTTAGATCTGACAGGGAGGGGTTCTGACACCCGGGCTTTCATATTTCCCCTTCTTTGCTGAGAAGGGTTTCTTTGAAGTGTATCCCTTGAGTGTGCCTGATAAAGAATATGCAGTCATTTGGGGTCTTGATTCGACGGGCAAGAGGAAGCAACTAGCTGAAGGTGCTGCTAATATGATTAAGGTTTTGGAGATGGAGGTTGTCCTCTTGGGCAAGGAGATTGGCTCTATTGTTGCGCAAGGAGATTGGCCAGTTTAAAAGCTGAAGCGGCGCCTGCCAAGGACGAGTCCGACGAGATGAAAGCCTTGAGTACTCATGCTAAATTCGTGGCTCGAATTCAGATTCTCGATTCGAATTGTGTGGATGAAAAGATGATGGGATTCGAAACTACGGTGACCCAGCTTGCATTGCTGAACCTCGGGCTTAACACAGAAGGGGTCGGGCTTCTGACCCGAGTGGTTGAGGTCAAGCTAGTTCCTCCTCTTGATTCCCCCGAGGACGAGACTGAAGAAGATGGTCGTCATGAAGAATGACTTTAGATTCCCTATTTTTCTTGTTTGGTTGGGCCCGCGTTCCTCGTGTTTGGTAATATTTAGATAATGGGTATCTGCCCGACTTTTTGATGTAACATTTTGACAATTTCATCCTCCGTGTTCGACACTTTTAAATGTCATTTGTTTTATATGCTTATATACTTAATTGTTGAATTCTTGATTTGTTAATCGTTATATATGTTTGCGGTGCATATTTTATTTAAGTGTGGGATTCTTGCGCGACAAAGTTAGTGCTTAACAGTGTGGGGAACATGTCGAGGAAATGAAGTTGGTTCCGCTTGATAACGGGACTAAGACCGCGGTAGGGGTCCTGATCTCGTGGCGTGAACTTTCCCATCGCGAGTTGGGTGTTCGGCCTCATTGGTACTGCGACGGTAGAGCTCAGTCGAGGTATCCCCGTCGGGCTAAGGCTCTGCTCGTCCTATAAGCAGGAGCCCGCCTTTTTGTTTCATATAAGGATGTTGTGTTCGTAGCTAAACATGCTTTCATGGCCATACGCACTTGGTTTCCTGTCGAACTGGGCAGGCCAGCTGTTAGGCCCAAACGTTGTAATTTCAAGACTTAACTACAATACTCCTTTAGCTTCTCTGTGTTCCATGGTGGAGCAAGTTATTCCCCGGTCAAGTTTTTGAGGAAATAGGCCATGCCCCCTGTTTTTGCTCAGACGTGGTAGGCTCCTTTCCAGTTCGCGACAAGTTTTCCCCATCACGAGTTTTTATGATTTCTTCTCAGGACTAGGCTTCCAACTTGGAACTTGCGTCTTATGACTTTGGAGTCATGACACAGAGTTATCCTTTGTTTTAAAGAGGCCTCGTGGAGAGCTTCTCCTGCTCGAATTTCTTCGACCAAGTCGTGTTACTCTCTCAAGGCCTCATCGTTCATCTCCTCGTCAATGGGAGATTTAGTTCGCCTAGACGGCTCTCTGATTTCCACTAAGATCACTACGTCGGTTTCGTAGGCTAGTCGGAAAGGAGTTTCCCCCGTGGTCGAGTGTGGTGCCGTTCTATAGGCCAAGAGTATGTTGCGTAGCTCCTTGACCCACCTATTCTTGGCCGCACCCAACCGTTGTTTCAGTCCTTGCAGGATCACTCTATTTGCAGCCTCGACTTTCCCGTTTGTTTGAGGGTGCTCGAGTTTGATAATGAAGTCATGGAATTTTATGTCGGTGAATTGTGTCTCGTTGTCGGTAACAAGGGCTTGGGGTATACCGAAACGGGAAAGCACGTTCCTCTTATAGAGTGTAGTATGTTATGTGTCGTGATCTTGGCGAGGGCTTCGACCTCTATCCATTTTGTGAAGTAGTTTACAAAGACAATTATATACTTGTGCGGACACAAGTCATATGGCTTGCTTGTTTGAATGCTCGTCGTCCTTTAAGGGATCGTGACCCAATTCATCTCAAGTATTTTATAAACAACAAATGGATTAAAAAGGATCAGTGAGATGTATATCCCTCTGATCCCGAGTATTCGGACACAAATCTTATAAATTACCTATTTTAATGCTCATCTTCCTCTTAAAACAATTACAACCAATAAAACAATTGTTTTTTCACCATAGCGCGAACAAATTCCTTTTATTTTCAATCAACCAACTATTTTTTGCCACTACGCGATTAAACTTTTTATTTAAAATCAACGAATGCAAAAAAGTTTACTACCCAGAATTACGTAGCTTTGAATTCCTCATCGCACTTGAAGATACATATGAACAAGATTAACATATTTTCAATCACCCTAATAAAAAACATCATTTTCTTTTCTTTTAAATACATCGTAATAATTAAGAGAAATCGAACAACTTATACTAACACTTTAATTCCCAAAATTAATTAAAGGTAACTATTGTTTACAATGGATGACAGGGGGAACTAATACATTTCCTATACATAATCGACTCCCGAACTTAAATTTAGTTTCAATGACCATACTTTTATTCTTTAGTGTTTTATCGATATTTTCTCTTTTAAAAGTAAATTTCGGTGATAGCTTCATTTTTTTCGAGCACTTATTTGTTAAGGTATTTTTTGTGCCCCGACACCAACATTATCACTTAGAGACTAAGGAACAAATTGAACAATTGCATTTTCCCTTCTAATTACATGTCCCTTGTCATCTCACATACTTACCAGAAAGTTAATTCTTGCATGGATAGTTTGGCTAACATTGGTTTAGCTATGGATTTAATCTCGTTGTTGATGGAATGTTGTTCATCCTATCATTATAAAGTATTATGTTAGAAATTGGTTAGATCTACTTAATTATCATTTTTTCTAACTTTTTGGAGGGTTTTGTGTCGTCCCTCTCTCCTTTGTATTTGTTTATCTTTTTCTAATATATTCTCTCCGTCTTAAAAAAATATGGTTTAATATCTTTTTTTAGTCTCATATGTTAGTTTTGGGATTCATTTTGATCCATTAATTTAAAAAAAAAATCATATTAATCATTTAACTCTTTAAAATATATTATTTTAGTCGTTTTTATCTGATTAATAACAAAAAAACTTAGAAATTGATAGTTAAATTTGTCACTAATTAAACAAAAAAAATTAAAATAATACATTTTAAAGAATTAAAAAATTAATATAAATATTTTTAAATTATGAGATCAAAATGAACTCTGAAATTAATATACAGAACCACAAAGACTATTAAAACAAAAAAAAAAATTATATATGAGATATTGAATTTGTTTGTTTCCTACCTTTTTCTTAAAATGATTAAAAAACAACTTCATGATAAAAATGAAATATCTATTTTTATTATTTTTTGAAGAAAATTATTTTAATAAAGGATCATAAATAATCTTTAGTATCTATAAATAGAAAATTTCAAATCAATATTTTAATGAATAAAGAATGTAAGTAAATAAATTCAAATCACTATAGATTATTCAAATCATGATTTTTTCTCTCTTTTAATTAAAAATAAATATAAACTAGTTTTTGACTGATATTACCTATTGATCTACCTTCCTTTTTTCTTTTTTGTAAAGTTATTTCTTTTACTGGATTAATAAACCACTTAATTAAGAAACTGAGAGTTGACTTATAAAAAAGGGCCTATTTATTTTAACTTTAAATTTTTTTATTTTCTTTATATATTTAAAAATTAATTTTATAAAATATTACAAATCTTTTTTATTTAACTTTTTAAAATTAAAAGACTAATTTTGATATCCTATAAGACAAATATATATTAATATTAAAGATCAAAACATAGTCAAAATCATATTTTTTAAAAATTTATATTACAAAAATATTTTTTATAAAAAAGTATTTGAAATATCTTCAAAATTAAGTGATGTTTTGAAATTTTGATATTCAAAAAAAGTTTTAATAAAAAAGTATAATATATGAAATTACAATTCAAACCAAATATTTTTTAAAGTATTACAAGTTTTTTATATTCATTTTTTTTTAAATTGAAAGAATAACTTTGACATCCTATGCATTATTAAAGATCAAAATATAGTCAAACTCACAATTTTTTTAAAAAGTTGTATCTTATAAATAATTTCTTTGAAAAATTATTTAAAATGGCTTCAAAATTAAATGATTTTTGGAAATTTTGAAGTCAAAAAAAAATTTCGATAAAAAATCAAATACATAAAATAACTATTTAAATCAAATTTTCATTTGAAACTTTTACAAACAATTTCTTTATAAATTCTTAATACAAAAATGTACAACACTATAAAAGTCATTACAAAAAAACTAAAATAAACCGGTCTTAACTTTTTTAATTAATTATTTTAGATATGCTCATAAATTATACACTATGTATACAAACATCTTTAATTAATTATTTTAGACATTTTTCATAACTCATACACTATATATATAAACACATGTATTGTAATACCAATGTATTCAAACAATATATGAGAGTGATAGAATAAGTAATTCAATTGAACCTAATAGCTATGGAGATTGAAATAGTTTCTAGAGAAACCATCAAACCTTCATCACCAACTCCTTCTCACCTTAGAATATATCCACTTTCTTTTATAGACAACATTTTTGTTTGTAATGTTCCACTACTCTTCTTTTACAACCCAAACAAGAGTTGTGACCAAAATTCAAAAATATCACAACTCAAAACATCATTATCTCATGTTTTATCTAAATACTATATTTTTGCTGGTAGGTTGAAAGATAGAATTATTATTGAATGTGACGACCAAGGTATGTCGTTTCTGGTTACAAAGATAAAAAATAAACTATCAGATATTCTTAAATATCCCGAAGAAAGATTGTTGAACTCTTTATTTGCTGACGGATTGCAATGGAAAGACGTAGATCTGAGTGCCGCTTTAGTAGCCATTCAAATCAATTGTTTTGAATGTGGAGGAATGGCTATAAGTATTTGCATGAATCACAAATGTGGTGATGCTTCCACCCTTATCAATTTAATGAAGGAATGGACTATTATCAATAAATAATTAGTAGAAGAAAATGAAAAAGAGTTATTAATATTTCCCTTTCCTTTACATGAGGGAGGAGGTTCAATTTTTCCTAAAAAAAACTTACCTATTTTCCCAGAATCGGTTCTCAATGAAAAAAAGAATATGGCGTGTAAAAGGTTTGTATTTCAACCGTCAATAATTAAGTTTCTCAAGGAGTTAGCAAGTTCTAGTTCTGTACTTTATCCCTCACGGGTGCTAGTTGTAAAAGCTTGGATTTACAAGCATGCCGTTTCATCAATGGGAATAAATTTCAAGACATCATCGTTTCAAATGGCCGTAGACCTTCGCAAAAGAATGATCCCTCCATTGTCTGAAAAATGTGTGGGAAATATAGTTTGGATGTCAACTATGTTCGCTGATAAGGAGGAAATGGAGTTGAAAGATGTAGTATGCAAAATAAAAGAAGGATTGTCTGAATTTTGTGACGTTTATCCAAAATTATTTGGAGGGAATAATTTTTTGTTGTTATCTGAGTTCATGAATAAAGTTATTAATCTTAAATCTAAGAAAAAAGATGGGATTGGTTTTAGTAGTTGGTGTAATTTTCCAATATATGAAGTAGATTTTGGATGGGGAAAACCAACATGGATTACTACTTGTGGTTGTCCTTGGAAGAATTTCGTAATTCTGATGGATAGAAAAGATGGGAACGGGATTGATGCGATTGTGAGCTTGGAAGAGAATCATATGACTAAATTTGAGCAGGAATATGTGAAGCTTCTTCAATAGGCTTCTCCTAAGGTTGTGACAAACTCAAGATTTGCTTATATTGATTGTTCATGGGAGAATCTCATAATTTTGTGTTTTTTTGTTGATTACATGTTTGGTTTGGTTTGGAATGATAGTTTATATCAATTGTAATTTTTGATTTTTTTTTTACTATTACTAGTAGTAATAATAATAATAATAATAATAATAATAATAATAATAATAATAATAATAATAATAATAATAATAATAATAATAATAATAATAATATATAATAATAGTTTGCTTCTGCAAAAATAATTTCAAGAAATGTTGGGCATGATGCACGACTACTCTCAAGTTTGTATGATTCATGATTGATGCATGATTCATGAGCTATAGTTTGGTATACTTGTAATATATACTATTTCTTTTTTAATTAATAAGCTTTTTTATATTGCAGTCCTTTACTTTTCTATTTTACTCCCACTTATCTATATTAACTAAATTAATAAAATAATACTAAGTAAAGTTAAATTGATAAAATAAAATAATTAATAAAATAAAGAAAATAAATAATAAAATAAAATAAAATAAAATCTAAATTAATAAAATTAAATTAAATAAGATTAAAACTATAAATTAATAGTATTATAAATTATACTATAGATTAAAAAAACAAATAAAATTATAAATTAAAATTAAAATGAAATTCATAAATTAATATATATCAATTAATAAATTAAAACCATAATATATCAAACTCAAATCTATAAAATAAAAACACTATTAAAACTGTAACTTAATAATAAAATAAGATAAACTAAAAAAAGTAAGTTTTAACCAAATTAATAACGTAAAAGTAAAAAATAAAACTAAAATTATATATTAATAAATAAATAGAGTTACTACTAAATTAATATAAAAAAATATTAAAACTATAAATCTTAATCTCTCATCTCTTAAAGTAAAATAAAAATAAGGTTTAGTCCTTAAACTTGACGTATTTATTAATTAATATTTTTTATAATATATTAATACTTAATTATTTTAATTTTAATAAACTATATAAGCCATGAATATTACTATAGCATTATCAATGGGGAACTTAAACTGGTACGGTAGCTTCAACTCAACAAACTTTCCATAAACTCAACTCAACTCACCTTTCCATAAACTCGATTCACCTTTCATTCCAATGAAGCTTAAGTTCACTCTCAATTATGTAAATTCATATGCAATTAATTGTTTGATGAATCTTTTTGTTTAGCTTATGTGTACTAAAACTTGTTTGACTAATTATGAGTTACAGTGAAGATTTAAACAAGAGAAGATTGGATTGTAGATTTATGAGTTACAGTTAAGATTGTAGATTTATCCACACTTTCTACATTAAAACTTATCTTTCCATGTAAATATTGCATTCACGTGGACTATTTTATATCATGTTTTTGTGTCATAAAACTGAAACATAATGAATTGAAATGCAGAACTAGCTTACAATAGAAATGATCCAAGAGATGCATATGCAACAATGAAGGAACTAATATCGGTTAGTGTACAAGAATTAATAATGAACAAAGAATAAATTTAAGAGAGCAAAGAGAATGTCGACGGGAAAAGCTGCAAGAAGAATAAATGTTATTATTGTTATGACATTTACAACTAATCTATTTATACACAAAAGAGAATGGCACATAGGCCCTAATAGAATAGACTTAATAACTAAGTTATCTAAAACAATTAGAAATACTAAAATACTCTTTAATATCATCCCTTAATTTAGAATTTCTAATTAAAAGTAACTACACCAATTTTATCCCTTAAGCGAAGAAATTGAATCGTCTTGATTGCATTTGTCATGATATCTGTCACCTGTTTCTGGGTGCTACAGTGCACAACTACTAGTACTCCGTTCTAGACTTGACTTCTCAAAAAATGATACTTTGTATTAATATGATTGTTTCTCCCATGTAGTGCTGAGTTCTAGGTAAGATTGATTGCATACTTGTTATCAATCATCAGCTTCAGAGGCTTATCTACGTTAATCTTCAAATCCTATAGTAAATTCAGAAGTCACACAGTGGGGCATACCGCTATAGCACCTGCAATATACTCAACTTCACACGTTAATAGAGCAACAACGGATTGCTTCTTGGAACACCAAGAAATAGAACCCCCCCAGAAACTTAAACAAGTATCTAAAAGTACTTCTTCTATCAACTCTATCTCCACACCAATTAGAATCAGAATAACTCATCAACTCTGAATCTGTTTTTCTTCTAGAAGGGAATAATACTCCAAATTTCAGAGTTCCTTTGATATACCTCAGATTCTTGACAACAGCTTGGTAATGAGACCATTTAGGTTTACTCATGAACCTACTAACCAATTCAACTGCATAACAAATGTTAGGTCTGGTATTACACAAATACCTGAGAACTTACCAACTGTTTGAACGTTGTAACATCTATGTTTTAACCCTCAGAGTCAGAATCCAAATTATGATTGGTTTCTGACGGTATAACAACGGCCTTAAAATTCTCCAACTTGAATTTCTTCAGAAGCTCAAGTTCATACTTCAGCTGATGCAATATTATATCTTTTTCAGAGTATAATACTTCCATCCCTAGAAAGTAAACCAACTTTCCTAAGTCAGTCATTTCAAACTGATTCATCAGAGTCTTCTTGAACTTGATAACTTCTTCATAACGGCTTTCCGTCAGCAATATGTCATCAACATAAAGACATACCAGAATCATATTGCTTTCAGAATACTGAACATACACGCCATACTCGATCTCACACTTCTGAAAATCTTGCTTCTTGAAAAATGAATCAATCTTCAAATTCCAAGCTATGGGCGCTTGCTTCAATCCATACAGAGCTTATTTAACTTGTACACCAGTCCTTCCTGATTCATTTTCACAAATCCGGGAAGTTGTGACACGTATACCTCTTCCTGTAATGGACCGTTCTAAAATGCAGACTTCACATCCAGATGCATCAGAGGTCAATTTCTATTTGCAGCTATTACAATCACCAATCTAATTGTTTCATATCTAGCTATAGACGCAAACACCTCAAAGTAATATAGCCCAGGTTTCTGAAGAAAACCTCTAGCCACTAGCCTTGTGTTGTACCCTAAATTTTGCCCCTAACTTTTTTCAGTCGCACTTTCATACCATATTTTGTCATTTGGTCACAACCATTAATAAATAGCTTCATTCATCACATTTGCATCTTATCTTTAAGTTTGTTCTTGTGTTGTTGACTAAATTCTAATCAAAATACAAAAAATATTTGTCTTTGTCTTTGCATATTTGTGTTTTGTAGGTACTGAGTCGAGGCATATGGCAAATAAGGTTTTCCGGAATTATTTCCCTAAAATCTCTATTTGCAAAGAAAAAAAGAATTAAAAAAATTTCTTTTTTTTTCACTGTACAATCAATTGCTCCTAGAGTGCAATCGATTGCACAAAGTGAATTTTTCACAATTTTTGGAAAAATACACTGTGCAAATCGATTTGCAATATAGTGCAATTGATTTGCATAGAGTGAAAATTAAAAAAAAAAATCAGCATTTTAAACTTGTCAAATGTTTGGCTCCAATTTTCCTTCACTTTTGAAAGATGTATAATTAATTCAAATTTTAGTGCCAATTTTTCATTTTTAAGAAGAATTATCATTAATTAAAATTTTGGCTCTAATATTTGAAAGAATTGTCATTAATTCAAATTTTGACTCTAATATTTGAAATAATTCATTAATTCAAATTTTGGCTCCAAGAATCAATTACCAAATTACCACTAATCCCAATTCAAAATTCTATAAATAGATCCCTCAACTCATTCAAATTTCAAGCTTTTGATAGCCAAATCCATCTTGCTAAAAAATCTCTCAATTCTCTCCATCTACTAAATTCACTCAAAGCTCCATTTTCAAAAAGTTAGTAAGCTTTGCATTGAAGCTTACTAATCTTTGAGCTAAACCTTCATCCAAACACTTTTTCTCCATCAATTCTCTACATCCAAGCTTGGTCAATTGATTCTTGTGGTTGAATTGAAGCAAATTCTTGAAGTTGTTTTGATAATTCTCTAGATCTACCTTTGGTAAGTTTGGATAATTCATCTTTCACAATGTGATCTCTTGGTGATCTTTGGGATTGATTCTTTGAGAATTATCTTGTGATTTCAATGGTGTTATTTTCTCATAATTTGATGGAATTTTCGTGCTCAAGTGGATCCATGATCATAAGGTGTTTGATGGAAAGTTTGAACAAGCAATTTCCCTTTTAAAATGATGTTTTTGCTACTGCTTCTGTGTGCAATCGATTTACACTAAGTGTAAATCGATTTACACAACACAATTTTGCATGAATTTTTGAAAATTATACTGTGTAAATCGATTTACATAGTAGTGTAAATCGATTTACATAGTAGTGTAAATCGATTTACACTAGAACATAATGCATTTTTTGCCTTGTTTTGGGGCAGCTTTGATCCAAAATGCTTTTTCTACTCACTCCTTTTGATTGTTGGTTTGGATTGCAATTTTAAATGTCCAATTTGTCTTTAAACTCAATGGACTTTGTGATGTAGATGAAGTTGGATAAATGTTCATCAATTCAAATCTACCTAAGAATGAATTATTTAATTCATTTTTGGTGCTTTGGATTAATGATATGTTTAGTGCTTTAATCCATCTAGAGGAGTGGTTGAATTTAAAGATGAAAGAATTTTGAAATGGTGATCCAAATTAGCTTATCATTTCCCTCCCTCTTCATCTTATCCCTTTCTTTTTTTTAATTGTGCTACATGTTAAGGGATGGTGATCTCTATATCATTTATCCAAACATGAAGTACATAGATTGCTATTGACCGGCCTCAAAATAGGTGCGACTTCTACATAAGTCCACTTACGATTGCTTAACATAGCGCTAAATTTTGTCCTGATTCGAATAAATGATCATTCGTGGCCCAAACTTATGATTGCAAGCCCAAGTATGTTAATTTGATCTCTTTGATCTAATAACCTTGAGAT